ATTATTATATTATTTACTTAATATAAAAAAGAAAAGAACGCACAAAGAACGAACAAAAATTTGATGTTTTTCCTCTTTACATCGGTAATTCGAAGGTTTTTTGCTTTTTCTGCTGTTGTTATGCAATGGCTTTCAGATAGATCTTTCAGGGCAACCTAGAATAACTCATTTTATACCTTTCAGATCTTCCATATTGCTTACCCCAGGGATCGGTTCTTGGCCCAGTCCTGTTTTTACTTTATAAATCCCTTTTTTTTTCATTATGACTCTCATATTTGTATGCTTATGACATTTTTTCTTCTGTAGAACCTTTTATTCTTTACTCTGTCAAGTATTAATGATTACTTGGTTTCTTCTTTCAGAGCAATGAAAAAAAATAAACAGTTATTGGAGAAAAAAAACATGACTTAAGAAAGAATATTAGTTTCACATAATGTTTTGTTTAGTTTTACCTCAAAAATCGGGAGTGATTTTCAATAGTTTTATGTACCTTGTAAAATAATGCAACAAGACTCATAACAGGGATAAGCAGGAGAGCAAATATCACTTGTTTCTTGACTACGCTTTACTGGTTTGTCGTTAATTTAGGTTTAATTTTAAACTACATTTTTACCTGTTAAGCCCCTGCATGGCCATGCTCCCACATATGTCACCAATATGCTTAAATCTCAGTCTACCTCCAGAGCTCTGAGGTTCACTATTAAGACTACCTTTAGTCCCATGTACACTGTTTAAGAACAATGAGGAGTGCCCATTCAGGATGTTGCATCTGGGCTGGGTAATTATTTTCTATTTCTTTCACCTATTGTCTACCCCACTGATGATTTCATAGTGGAGCTAATTGCAGGTTTTAGATACATAATTTGTTATGTTTGCTGCCCACATGGTGTTGGAGACAAAACAGTTATCTTATTTTTACCTGAGTTTCTTTTGTCTCCCACCACCTACGCTGGGTCAAGGGGGGATCCTAGAGGTGGCCACCCTAAAGAGCTTATATAATCGCCTCTATGGTGGAGCCATCAGAAAGCTTTTGTAGATGGTAGCCTTGGGAGTTGGCAGATAAGTAGTGCAGAGGGTAAACGGGAATAGTGTGAGCATGGCTCCCTAAGTGGCCCCTATACTGCAGGCAAACCTATCAAAGACATATCCCTGTGTCCTCACATACCGTGGATGGACAGTGAGGTAGTCCAGTACCCACTGGAACAGATGAAGGTCGCTCCTTACAGCTCCAGGTTGTTCCTGAGAATACCAGATTGGGTTTTATTAAAAGTACTGGAGAAAAAAAAAATAATTTAGTCCTTACAGTGCTTCTAGGGTTTTGTAGGTAGGATTTGGTGCAGGAGATCAATCTTAACACCATTAACCCCAATGTAAGCCTGGAACACACATTGCAGAAGAAAACAAATGAATAAACTGAATAAGAAGGTATATAAAAAAAATGGAATAAGGAGGTGAAAATGGTTAAGGACCAACCTCCAAAGGGTTTTCATCGTGTTACCGGCCTGAGCATTCCCCTTTAAGGAGGTGGCCTCGGGGGGGGGTGAAGAAGGGGGTGACGTAGCCAGCACGTACATGTATGTTTTGGTTTTTTTTCTCTGCGTGTGAGAAATAATCCAGGTTCTGCAGCTGTTAGAAGTAAGGCAGTTTTGTGAGAATAAGTTCGGCTCCACAGCCATAAAAAGTACTGCTGTTTGTAACGAGGAATAGTGCTGAATAAAGCCGGTCCGTGGATTCTACTACTCCGCCTCTGCTCCTCTGTGTGTGCGTGCAATAAGCCCGGACGGCTAGTTACCGGCCGCAACGAGCCAAGCTAAGTTCGGACCAGTCTTAGCTTTATTAACCAGCGGTTCCGAACCACGGAGAGGAGCCATAGAGCTGGGAAGGTAACAATCGGATGCAAGGTCAGTGGTATTGGCCTGTAGCTCCTAATGTCCTGTGAATGTGTGGTCTTTGGCACTAATACCATACAGGAGATGTTCTACAGTTGTGCTTCCCAATCCAGCTTCAGGCTCCTATTGAACATGAGCTGTAGAGCTGATGCCATTCAAACCTACAGATCCTTCATCTTTTGCAGCTTGATCCAAACCTTAGATGTTGGATGTTTGAAGGAAAAGAGCGATGGTCAGGGAGTACGGGTGTGAGACAGAGACCACAAAATTAAAGTGGAAAGTTGATGGCCATCTATTTTTTCTCTGGAATAAAATAGAAAATGACCTCTTCGGCCCCCCAGAATCCCACACTTCTCCCAGACTTTTGACCTGAAACTTTCTCAGGTTGTTTTAAACACCAGTGATATTCTTCTGTTGCAGCCAGTTCTTCCAACTCCTTTCTCTCTCTCTCTCTCTCTCTCTCTCTCTCTCTCTCTCTCCTTTTTTTGTCACTTATTTTCTTTTATTTTTATTTTCTAGTTATTTGTGCACATCTCTCAGCTCCCCCATGCTTCCTTATCTAAAGACTCTCTTCTTCTCAGGAGGAGACTAAACTAAAAAAAAGAAAATTGTTAAACTCAACATGATTATTCAATCATGTTTCAAGAACACTGGGTGTTATACTGTAAATGTCTAACTTAATGAAATGTTTGATCTTTTAACCTCCTGTATGTTTTTTTTTTTTTTTTGGTTTTCCATGTCAGCAGTCATCTTAAATTTCACTCAAAAGTTTTATTCATATCCCATCTATTAAAAAGCTGTGGACTAGAGTGCCATATTTGGTGAGTCAGGCGCAGCCATTGTGTGTAACATAAAAATCCTAAAACCACCACCAGTCATCCAAACCGACATCTTTGTGCAAATTTTTGCAGATGTTTTAGGATCCTTTCTTCTTTCTCACCCATTTGCTGTCTCCTATTGTTTGCTTGCTATCCACTGCTCCCTTTGCTTATCTCCCCAGCTTTAAACTTATCCCAATGTGTCCATGCACCGTAACCAACCTTAAACTGCATACTCATTTTTACATGGAGGTGTCATTTTATTTCACTGCTCTTGTTTTTGGTGTAGTCTCTTCAGTATGAGCTGCCCCAGACAGCGGTATTCTGTCCCACCCTCATTATATTTTCACACTCGGTTTCCCAAGGACATGAAAATACAGTCACGCACTTTTCCACACAAACTCCCGACTCAGCATGTGCTTTTTGTTTCTTTTACTATAGTTTAAGATAACAGATACGGCATTTAATGTTAAATTTGATAAAGCTGTTAAAAGATATTTAAATATATCTTAACAGAACATTAGGATTTCATAAATACACTAAACACATGAATTTACGCAACATTAGCCACATAGTGTATAGCTGGCTGTAAAAAGGAAGTGACTATTGAAAAGTGTACGTTTTCTAAACTGAATATTGGGTTGATGCAGAGAAAATCAGTATGTGAATAATGCCAGTTTAATCGGTATAGTACATTTTAAATAAAAACAATACAATTATATGATATCTTTGTTTAAATCTTAGAGCTTCTGAACCGTTCGGTTAGTAGCCTAAATCCTATTTGTGGAATCATCTTGCAACGAAATAACCTTATATTGTCTGTAGCATATTTTTACTGGTTTCCAGTACTTAATCATGTCAGATATTCTGTATTAATAAGGTTAATTAATATTAATATTTTTTTATACAACTGCATAAAGTCTCTTAACAAGTGGTTTGGGGCTCTCAAAATTGACACGAGGACACGAATAGATACATTAAAGTACTACAGCACGAATACATAGCCTAGTTTTTAAATATAAATTTGTCTTATACCTTGTCTTGGACCTTGTAGTTGATGGTTGGATCCTGGGGTGGTGGAGGGACTAAAAATCTACAGACAGCATGCAGACAGAGGAAGCAGCAGAGCAAAATGATAAAGGGAGCTAGCAGGTTATGAAGGCCACCCACATTGATAGGAAACGTTTGAGAAGATCATATGTAAAGTAGCCAGAAGAGCTCGACTTATCATAGCTAGCTGTCAGGCATTCAATCCTATTCTCCTCTTACAGAGCCAATCATTATTAGTATTACAAGAACACCAGAAGCACCCCCTCCAGATGCTTGCTAAAAACCGGACACATACAAATATACATAATGATCAAAACAAGTTTTTATTTTTTTAAAACATACAAATAAAACATTTATTTTTTTTTAGTATGGAGTAAATTAACAGAGCTATTTAGTGTACTTTGGAAACATTTTCTAAAACTGGAAGCTAATGAGCTCCGTATCATTAATAAACTGCCAAAAGCAAACATAGATTTTTTTTTTACATGTGGGGTATTTATGTATGAAAATGGTGAATCAGTGTAAGCTGTGATGCTTACTCAATATTTCATAGACACAACTGTAAGCTGGTGTTTATATCAAGATTTATCCATGGAAAATAAAAAAAAGTGTTAAGACACATTATATATCATGGCCGTTTTCTTTGTCAGTGGGTAGAAAGGCATGTGTGGAAAAAGCTGATGGATCTGCGCATGCATTTATATCAGAGTGTGAATAAACTAAAGATTCATTGAAATGGTCATTCAAGATAATTTTCTTAAACTGTCAATTTTATTTAAATTGATTATTTTGCTGCTTTAGTTAACAGAAAATATGCAAAAACATAATTCTAGGTTTGACCCTTTACCTTTTAATATAATAATGACAATAATATATTCCCTATTTCTTCTTTTTCTATCTTTCCTCCATCAAATTCTGTCCTCAGTGTCTGACAGCCCGTTGGAAGCAGCAGGAGGTGGACCAGGCACAGGGCCGGACTTTTCCCAGCCTCGTTTCTCCTCCTCCCTCCCGACCTATCTCCCAGTCCAATGCCAGCTAAGTGGAGCTGACTCCGCCTTCTTTCTGCGGGAAGCTAATCAGGAGGTCATGAGAAATGGCAGTCTGTCATCGTGGACTGAGCCCTTCTTTGTTCACAAGGTGGAGATAGGTATGGCTGCTCCACAGTCTCTCCCGAGTGTGAACTGCAGCTACGGAAATCTGAGCACTGAGCAGCCAATCCCAATAGAGCTACTTCAAGGACCTCAGCCACACCTGCTGACCTCAATCAACCAGGTGACGATGAATTGGAGGGTCAAAGGTCAGGTAGTGGTCCCTAAAGTGGGATCAACAAGACCATGGATTCAGGTATAAACATTTTATTTTTAAAATATTGATTTATATAAGATTTTTAAGATATATCTATTGTTGAGAATATGAGAACAAAAGTTATCTTATTGGTAGCGTAAGAGGCATCTGTGGAGTATATCAGATTTCCATTTAATGAGTAATGCAGTAAAATGCGGTTAGCAGACATTTCAAATATAAAACAGAAAACAGACTTGTCAAGATTTTGGTTTTAAAACCTAAACTTTCTAACTACTTTCTCCTCTGCTCAGAGTAATCCAAGGAAACCTAAAAAGAAAGCTGTATGTTAGTAAAATGTAACAAAGCTATACAACAAGATAATGGTTATTTTTTGACTTAACTCTATTGGCATTATAAAACAGTGGCTTTAAAACAATAACAATAATGCACTTCTAAGAACAAGTGAGTGTTACGGTTTCCTTCACCTTATTCTGGATTATCTCAAGGTGTTACCAGGAGAACCAGAAGCATGGTGGGAGCTAAACCCATTAATTCTTGCTCAAAGCACTCCTACCACTATCTCTTGAAATTTAATTTAGGCTTCAAGTGATTGAAAATCTTTCCCCAGGACACTGGATAATCCACTAAGACCCTTTTCTATCTTAAATTGGGATTCCTGCAATGTAAATATACTATATTTAATGCACGCATACATTGTGAAAGGAATTGAAAATCTTGCATCAGATTTCATTTAATGCTACTAAGGAAAAACTAAGAATTTAAAACATTTTTGTGGTTTTGGTTTTTAATTCTTTCTTTAAGGCTGACTCTAGCCACTCAACTGAGGAAGTAGTAGCCTTTCCTGGAGAAGCCACAAAGGTCACCGGTTTAAAACTCTGGTTGTCATTCTGGGTCCTTCAAAAAGGTTAACCCTAGATTGCTCCCTATGCACTATTTAGTTTGGAGCACACAATAGATGTGTTATTGGCAGAAGGCAAATATCCCTATAGGACTATTGAGGAACCTTCCTTTCGATCTCAGGCTACAGGGATAAGGTTTTAGATAGACTTCTAAATTCAAAGCTTCAATTTTTGTCTCAGTTGCTATTACATTGACAGAATTGATTAGCACTAGTTAGCATTAGTTTTTGGCATTTATTTAATCATATTTAGTTATTTTAACACAATTGTTTCATGTTAGCAGGGTAGGACATAAAACAATTGTGTTAAAGTAACTAAATATGATTAAATAAATGCCAAAAAATGGTTGCATTGTTTTTTTCAGTGTGCAGTCAAAGTTCTGGTCTGCTTATTTATCACATGTAACCTTCCCCGATCATGAATAACACCCCAATGTACTTTTAGTGTTGCACTAAAAGGTCCAAAATTATGTTATATGTGTAAACAGAAAATACTAACAGTCAAGCCCCCAGAGCATATATTTGCTGTTTGTGCTGGAAAATTCCTCTCAGATTAGGCAGACATCATGTACCAGAAACCTCCTCATTCATCTCTCTTCTAGACGTGCTGTTTTGCTTTCCAACCATTAAGGCCGTGCCCCCACAAAACGCAACCGTGACAATTTAGAGTTTTTAAAGATGACAGCTACAGTCGGAGTGCGGAATAATATTTAAGATAAAGTTTTGAGCTTTAGCAATGGGTTACTACAGACCGTTCTGGGCAGCCTATGACTGTCAACAACGCACAACAGGTGCAGAATGACGTGATAGGACTGTATACAACCTTTCGATAAACAAACAAACATGTACACCCGTACCTCACATTTAACCTGAGCTACGGCATCTATCTGCTGTGATGAACTAAATGGGTTGTTGGTTACCAAAGCTTAGAAGTATGATCCCCCTATAGTTTGTACACATCCTCCAGTTCACATTCTTGTGGATGGGACTACCAATCTAGTCTGCCAGTGCAGGGACAAGAAGACTTCCTGAGACCTAAGGCACTCATGGCAGATGTTATCCATCTCTGAAGCCTTAGAAATTTTGATTTTTGACCACTTCAGTGACTCAGAGGATGCAGTCTGTGCTTTAACCATAGTAGGCATGACAGACAGATCGAGGAGCTCCTCAAGGTATTCCTACCACTATTCAACCAATCTCCACACTCTTTTTTTAAACAGAGTTAGTGAAACATTGCTTCTCCCTATGAAGATGACTGAGAGTATTTTTCAAAGCGAGACACCATCACCATGTAAAATGGTTTCCAAAAAATAGTTTTAAGTCCTTCTATTTTGTTAAGATATTTAATTTTCCTGTATTTTTGTTTTGATTTATTTGTTAATGATTTATTGTACTTGTTTTGATGCTTCATGCATTTATTCCCCCTAGGTACTGTTTTATCTGATTGGGCGGCGCTGGGATGAGCCTGACCCCCTTCCTACATCAAGTCTCCCATGTATCCGCGCCTTGGCTGTACGTGACCCCAGTGAAACAGCACCTTCAGCAGGCTGTCGTCTTATGGGACCATCTGGAATCTGTGTGGTCCGTCTGGAAATTCCGCCGGCTTGGTTTACATCATCACAAGTGAGAAAAAGACCTTCTGAAGTGTCTCTACAATCAGTGGATGTGTTCTACTCCATCATACCAGTAGAAGGGACTGGCAGAGACTGTCCCTCTATTGTAAATGAGCCATGGAAAGCTCAAAGTTCGAATGTCGGACCCCTTGGAGGCCTGGGTATTGGTCTTGGAGGACAGTGGAGTAGCCTGGAAGATGGAGGTCTTCAGGACATGCTAAAAGCTGGCACCGTAGAGATGAGCCCAGGCCCGGTTTCTGCCAAGGGAGAAAGATTGCCATTAGATGAAAATTTGGAGGTTCTTGTCCCGCCTAGTCCGGTCCGGCTTGGCAAAACAGTGGCATTTGGCATCTACATGAACACAGATTCAAACCTGGAACAGTTCACATTGAGGTAGGGTCATCGATTTTTTGTGAAAATGTTTATGTTTTTTTTTTTACATTTGTTTTAGAATTTTGTTTTACTTTTTGGCTATTTTAGTTTCTATATCTGTGTGGTTTCTTTTCCACTGCCTCAGCCTACACCTCACCTGCATATGTGCAATGTTTTACTTCTCAACTCTAACTCCTCCTGGAATTGATGGTTGTCACCTTTGTTTGTTCTACAAGTCAGCAACACAGTGTTGTTATAAGTATTTTTGGCAAATTGTACAGAAAAGGAGACACAGAATAGTAATACAGAAAAGGAAATCGGGACTGATTGAAAACTAGGAAATAAAAAAAAAAAAACAGAAAAAAGTTTGTAAGATTAGATAGAATATAGGATTCAGAAATGGGAAGGTGTTACCCTAATGGGCCTCAGGTGCACTTTAAAAATTCAGAGTACGCAAGGTTTTGACTGGGGCCTAATGTTTTTTCTTTTTTTTTATGAGCCCTGTGCCATCACAAAGCTCATTCTTTCTCTGAGACAATAAGTGTACAACCACTGATATAGAATAAGCATGCATATCTTATTCCATCTCTGCATAATTTCAATGACTTCAGGGATTTCAGGCTGTCAAATGACAGATGAGCAAATGCATCATTCTATGCATAAAACGGCCTCTGGCCTGATATATCCCACCATAGACATAAGAATGCTCTTTGTGAGGTAAGTCCCATTTATGGTGGTTGCCTCAGACAACTTTCCATTTGTTAACATAATTTCATAAATTTAGAGTTTTATTTTTCCTACAGATGTATACAGTCTTAAGGGAAACCGTTGCATATTTTGGATAAGAGGTGCTTTACACCTTGAGTGGGACAAGAAAGTCTCATGAAATATGTTTTTAAGCACACACACACACACAGACACACACACACATGTTGTGTCACAATATCCTTGTGGGGACCTTCCATTGACTTCCATTCATTTCCCACTAATTTATATGGCCTAACCATGACCCTTGCCCTAACCCTAACCATTACCGACACATACCTATCCCTAAACCTAACCTAAACTCAATTCACACCTTAGTCCTAAACCTAACCCCCACCCCAAGAAGAGAAAGTTTCCTTGTGGGGACCAGTTGTTGGTCCCCACAAGTACCTATGAGTCCCCAAAATGTAGCATATTCCTAGGAAATTGTCCCCACCAGGTATTAAAGACATGGCCACATACACACACACACACACTCCTCAAGTTAATTATGACAAAATCGTACCCGTGTTGAACAAATTATAATTTGAGCTTTATTTCACGTTTTTTTCAATAATATATAGTCATATAGTTTAATCAACATATTTTTGTACGTTGTAGAAAATAAAGTGATATAAATAGTAAATGGAGGGGAATTATAGTGATAGAAAACAAAACTAATCAAGGAAAGCACAAGGGTGGTCCAAATTTGTATAAAAGAATATGTGTCCTTTAAGCATTGGGTTGCCAGTTAAAATCTACAGCTCTGTCTGTCTTAATCATCGTGCTCTTGGTGGCCTGATATGCGGTTATACATTCTATGGCAACCCAAAAGTACATTGGATCTGCAGCTTAAGCAAACAGATTATCCCAGATTCTTTTTTAGGGTAGATAACCCGTTTATTGAAATGCAGCGCTCCTCCTGATACTAAAGACACAAAGCCCCTCACCAGCAAAGTATGATTTTCTTTTTTGTAAATGTTGAGTTTCAAACCCTATATATCAAAACTTTTTTTTCCTATAATTTTTTCTGAGGGGCAGTTTTTGCAAAGTGTGTTTCTTGTTATTAGGTCATCATAATAAGTCGAGGCAAATGCAACCTGCAGTGTTTCAAATTATGCTTTGAATTATTTTGTGATCTCACAAATAAGTTATTAGATTAGGTCAAGACTGATAAAAGATCTTACTCTTTAAGGCGTATCACTGTCTCATGTTTTCACCTTTTGCATAGAAATATAAGCCCCTTTAATGGCTTAAATGCATAAATTATTTTAATTTCAAAACTTGATTTTGTATTTGTTCTAATCATATCTATCAAATAAATAAATATTTCAATCCTATACGTCTAACAATGACAAAGATGCAGAAATAGGAGAAATGCTGCAATCATACACACTTTCTCACAGTGTACACAACACTTTGAGGTAAATTTCACTAGATCACAATTCTACCGGATTTGTCCTGCAATCCAGCTAAGTGCTTTTCTTGTTACAGTTCAAGGAGCAATATTTATGTGTCCATAGTTTCCCCATATTCCCTGTGGGGCTAAGTAAGATGTGAAATTATGTGATTAGCACATCAAAGGAACACAATTTTATCTAATGATAATGTTTTGGTAAAGAAAAAAAGGAATCAGTCAGCACAGTAAAGAAATAATTCACCGGTAGCCTAACGGTTTTAAAAAAGAAAAAATATATATATATATTTCATATTAGAAGCTTGTAACACAATTCTAGTTGTGTTCTAGTTCTAATTCTAGTTCTGATTTTGAAGAAAGTATACTTTTGTTTTACTAATAATAAAAAATCACTGATTTTCATTTGTTTTTAAAATGGGAAACTTTGTCTGCATATGCTCTATTTTTATAGCTCAACACATTTTCTCATTGTAGTTATATTATTTCTTTGCTTATTCTTTCTCAAACTTTAGACACAGGAGTTGATTGACAAAATCCAGATATATAAACACAATTTTTATTTTGTTCCTTTTACCAATATTCATAGATTATCATCAGAAACTACCATAGGTGCAAGAACTTGATTTAAAAGTAGATTGCTGGAAGTGGATTGTCATTAACTTAAGTAAAGTCACACCTCAACAACTGCAGAAAACCTAACAGAAATCAATTGGGTACTGATTTTACACAATGAAAAAAAAAAAAAAAAAAACAGGCTGGGTTAAAAACAGGCTAAGTGTTCACTTAACATTAACTTAATGTGCTAATATAGATAAGAGGCCTGAGGCTGGCCATGAACAAAGATGTGAATCAGACTATTGATCAAATGTTTTAGTTTGTTTTACACGCTTATGTTGTTGCACCTGAATAAATAGCCTATCTTCCCCACTCATTTGACTAGTGTATCATTAATGTATTGTAAAATAAAAACAGACGTTTCCCATTAATTCTTTGTATTAGAAATTGACCGTTCTATTGCATTTGAATAAAAGATAATTATATTCATCCCTCTTAAATCTGTTCACATATGTAATGCTACACCCATATCTCATACTTAACAGCAGCAAAATGACCAGTTAACACAAACAGTATCAACAGTAAGAAAAATTACATGTTTTTCAAAATGCATTGTGAAAAACTATCTTGAAAGTGTGGTTTGCGAAAAGAGTCAGTTAATTTACCACATTTGTAAGTACAGATGCAAGTATTGTGGAGTATCAGTGTTCCATGTTGAAAGGGATTTTTCAAAACATAGTTTAACCTCATTCATAAATCTTAATTTTCAAGTCTTGTCAAAGCTTTTAAATTAGTCAAGATTTAACACAGAATTATGCTTTTCAATTCAATTCAGTTTATTTATATAGCGCCAATTCACAACATATGTCATCTCAATGGACTTTACAGTTCACCAGATCATACAGTCAAATTGATTCAAAGTTTTCTATCTAAGGAAAACCTGATGATTGCCTTATTGACTGAATGCAATCCCTCACACTAAGCATGCTTGTAGCGACAGTGGAGAGGAAAAACTCCCTTTTAACAGGAAGAAATCTCCAGCAGAACCAGGCTCAGTGTGAGCGGCCATCTGCCGAGGCTGACTGAGGTTCAAGGAGACTGAAGCAGAGATACAAAAAGCAGCTGTAAAAGGCAGCAACGTCCAGTAAACACACAGCCAGGCAGACAAGCTCCGAGCCAGCTCCCATGTCAGAGGATGGAGAGAGCACATCCAGCTTGTCACAGTCAGAGAAACATGACTACACTGGAAAAAAAAGGCTGATCTCCAACATCTATAAACAAAGATGTTTTCAGTAAACTATGCCATCATAGTTCTGGTTGTGTTGTGCTGGCAGGTGAACCACCTTGGAAGTCTTACTTACATTCATCTTCTAGTGCTGTTCAATATTCGAGTCTATCCATCTCTCCATTAGCTTTGATCATCCTTCCTCTCCATATCCTGGTAGGTTTGCAGTTATGCCATACTTTTTTCTTTTTTTTTTTTACATGTTCAAGTTGTAAGTTTAGTGGTTTCTATGTCTGATGTTAAACTATAAGACTATCTTTTTATAGCCTTTATCCTTGACCTTCTTGATGTGTCCTTTTGTATTCATGTTGTCCACTAATGTTATCTTAACAGGACAGCTTTAAATGAATTCTACATACATATAATCTATTTACTAAAGTTAACCTATTCATCTAACTAGGTTTTATTTAAATGTATCTATATTTTCAAACTAAACTTTTACTGTATATTTATTTCCCTAATGCTCACCTCATGGGTTAACATATTTTTGTGTATATAGTTAACAGGAAATTAAATGGGTGCAATGGACAATGTTATTGCCTAACTCAGAACATTTTTTATATTGTTAAAACACTTTACATTAGAGTATTTTATTGTTTATCTTTTAACTTTTCATTATTATGTTAATGTTCTACATTTTTCTAAGGTCCATATTTGCGTGACCGTTTTTTTAAATAATCTTTTTGCTGCTGTAAACACCCCATTGTCCCCATTGTGGGACAATAAAGGGATTTTCTATTGTGTTTTACTCTATTCTAAAACAACTGACAGGTCTCCTTCTACTAGACTTACAAGTGTACCTGTAAGGTGTATTCGGCAAATGGGAAAAAGAGTCGGCAGCTTTCTCTCCATTGATTTTGCATCTCATCTAACTCAGCCAATCTGGGAAGATATGATATGACAAAAGAAAATGTGATTAATGGAGAAGAGAAAACAGGTTAACATAATGAAAATCACTCAGCGTGACAGCGACATTTTTCTAATTAAATAAAAATGTGATTGTTGTCCATATTATTATTT